AGACAGACAGACAGACAGACAGACAGACAGACAGACAGACAGACAGACAGACAGAGAGAGGAGCTGAGAGATAGAAAGAACGAGGGAAGTAGGGACTGAGAGAGAGAGAAGGGAAGAGAGGGGGAACGGGGGATAAAGAGAGAAGGAGGGGGAGGGATATCCCTTCTTAGTATTTTATCTGAAGGTCTAGAGTATAAATCCCCTGACTGCAGCAGACTTTAATCCAAGCTTTTTGGCACAATATCACTGGGTTGTAAGCATTTCAACCCCCCCCCCCAACACAATGTCGATTGCTTTAATAGATTGGAATAACAAATGGTTGTTTGCTGTTCTTGCTGCTTTTCGTTGCTGTTGTTGCGGCTGTCATAATTCGTGTTGTTGCTGTTTACCTTCTATCTTTCTTGTTGCTGCTTTTGTGACTGTTCTTGCTGTTGTTCTTTCTTCTTTGGTGTGGTTAATTTTTCGTAAACTTTTGAAATGATTAATTAATTTCGAATCACTGCTTGAAAGCACGATTTCCCTCATTTTTTCCCTATAAAAACGCTTTTTGTTGTTGTTTTTTCTACTAAAACTGTGCACAAATAGCTAGAGCCGAACCAGGGACGAGGTGTATGTCAGACAGATTTGTTTTGCATCAAAAAGCACCTCCGTGCGTTAATAGGCAGTGGTTGGGTGTACCAGCGGTTCAAGCTATGTATCCATGTGATTAGCACCTTTTAAAACTCCACTCTTGCTGCTCTCTAAGCTGGTCTATGCTTTATGGCCTCTTAAGGATTCCGCAGGTGGAGCGACCATGAAGAAGCGGCCTCGGGGAAAGCGATGCTAAAATGAAAAGCATGGAGATTCCTATCAGACCAAAGTTTGATATTTTACACAAGGCCTGAGAATGAATTTTTAGAACCAGGCGTAGATTACACGAAATGAATCTAAAGTGCTTGATAGGAGCTGTGTTAAAAGCAAGCGAGCAATCCATTTAATGGAACAATGAAGCTATCAGAGTGTTATAGGTGCCTTATCGAAGGAAGTCGAACCAGAACTCCTCAAAACGGTCTAGATACAGACGATAGCAATAATCTTAAGTATGCGGGGGGGGGGGGGGTGAGAGTACCAAGACAAAGGGTTATGTATCTCTAATCCCTCTTACAAGACAATCTTCCTTGCAATAATTCGATCTTTATCTACATCTCCCTCTGGCATAGTATTATGTGTTGAATCTACCAGCATTTCGAATGAGTCGTGTGCACTATGAGTAGATAATTTCCCATTATAGGTTGTTGATAAGATGGGGGGGAGGGGGGGGGGGATATGAATCAATAATAATATGTCTTTACACAACTGGGATTCGGTTACGGGTTACACAAATGATGGGATGTGATGTTATTTTGTTTATTATCGGCTTTTTCACCCCATCGAAACAATTAAGGAATTTAACATCATTTCGGAGGTAGTCTTCACCCCCGCCTGTCAGAACCAACCAAGACTGAGAAAGATTAAGGCACCCAATAAAATGTCCCCCTCTAAGGAATTAAACTCAGGTCTTCTGCATACGACGGCGAAGCTCCTTACCGCTACATCACAGACGACGGTCTGTTCTGGTACTTGACAAGTTGAATAGATGGAATAAATGGAAGAATGCATAGATTTGATGGCTTTTACTCTGAGAGGATGAACAGGAGAAAAGTTGGGCGGAAAGAGGAATAAAAGACTGGTTAGAAGGATGGATGAGTAAATTGATAGCGAGATGAAAAATAGAAGATGGGGTAGAATGGTTTGAAAAGAGAATAGAGCAATGGAGGGTTAGAAAAAGGGAAGAGCGGGTGGGGGCGTACTGCTCATAATTTCCTGTGTAGAAAAGCTGCATGCAAGAAGTCAATTGTATGCCGGTATTTTTATTTTTCATTTTGGCAAGAACCCCAAGATCTAGCTCTAAACGTCACATGTGAGAACGTGTTCCGTCCTTCAGAGAGCTGCTTCAGCAACTGAAGTTTCCTCGTATACACTGCAGTGCAATACAATGCAAAACAGTGCAATACAATTTAACTCTTACAGATTCTAGTGCACAGTTGATAGAGGGGGACTTATTCTTCTTTGTTTTTGTCTTGAATGTACATTAAATCCGGCCAAATAGTTTACTCCTTAATCTTTTTCTAGTCTGACCCTATCTACATTTAGATAAACTTGTTTCAAGTGTTTTATATTGATGTTCGCACTTTTTGTAAAACATTATTTTTAAGGGTTTGATTGAAAACAGAAGTTGCTCATTTTGAAAAGAGTTACGAGAGGACCTGAGGAAAAATAATGATCGATAAACTATTGAAATTAGCACTAAATTTTTCATCAGTGAAACATTAATTTTGTCAAAAGTTGCTCTTTTAAGAAATGAGCTTGCTTTTTGTATATTTTATACCAATCAAGGCTAAAGTAATCCATAATAGAAAAATGAACAATTCTACCCAACTGATAATATAAAATCAATAAAAGATATTTCGATTGTTGACCAAAGGAAACTCGTTGCTCGGTATCCGTTTTCTCGGTTGCAGAATACAGATGTATCCACGACAAAATGCTTGTATTACAAACTCATCAAAAAGAATAATGTCGATTCAAAATACAAAATAACTGAATAAATATTAATTAATGCATCAGAGATCGCCAGGGGCGCTGCACCTCCAAAACACTCCAAAGAACGTAAAATCATAAACGGTTTCGAACGCAGGTCGTCTGCACTAAAGTACAGCTTATCACCCGCTGGTTTAACGACTCATCCTTGGATGCATGTACCTTGTGGCGTCTATGAAAAGGTGAAAAAAGGAGGTGGGGGAGGAGTGTGTAGGCAGACAGCGAACACTTCAGGGCTAAGTGCCTGCCTACTGCACTATTTTGACTCCCCGTCCCAAGCCCACTCACTTCTGAATTCTCAACACATCAGCCAAGGGAAAATGTTGGTTTATACATATCTTATAACGGTGCCATTAGAAGCCCTGCTACAATAAGCTGAACACATATATCTTTCTTTTTGTTTGCTGTATATTAGACACGTGTGCAAGTTATATTCTATTAAACGTTGTTTCCCTATAGCATGTTGGTCCATAGAGCACTATCCCACTATTACCTGTCAATCCGTTAGGAGGATCTAACAATCATATGCCGAAAGCATTTTCAACAGGGTATGACTGCCAAAATCAATGAGTTTTGGTGCCATAAAAGCGTCTTGAGGAAGGTTAGGGCGTAAAATATCACTAAAGTTAGAAGTACCAGTTTTTATAGTGAGCCAGAATGAACGAGAACTTCATATCACATACAAAAAAAAGCATTCAAACATGTGTGCCCCCCCCCCCCTCTTTTCCTACTTATCTTTCCCCACAAACAAGGAACTTTTGAAAATGGTCCCTCGGTAAAATGCTCCAAAGTGCTATCCAAAACCTTGAATCTTCTTAAGTTGTGAGAGGATATTAAAATGAGACCGGCTATAACTAACCTTTTATCTTTTTTAAAAGCTACTTAGCCTGTTTAAATCAGGACTAATTGGCTGA